AAATATAGGACGTGAACACATACAAAATCTTAATATGAAATGTTTACGAGATCAACTCTGCAACTCAGGTCATCAGAATCCATCAAATGTTTTAATAAACTCATATGTAGAAACAAAAAGAAAACCTATATATAGAAAATAGAACTACCATTTAAAAGTTTATAAGAAGTCATAAAATTCCGTTGATGTATAATGTCTGAAATAATTCATTTAACTTCAAAAATTAATTATATTTTTCACGTTTCATGTTCACGTTTTCTAATTTAAAAACTAAAACTAAACTCACACACTAGCCGATTACACATATATTGGATCTTACTGATTAGTGATGTAAGAAGGTAAGATTTTTTCAACGGAAAGAAAAAATGAGCAATAATACCAAAGTATAGATTAGCCTACTCTTTTTGTTTCTGGTATTAGTTATCGTTTTTAAACAGGTTTGTAATCGAATCTCATCTATCCACGACTTGAAGGACCACAAATACGTAGAAGCTCTAGAGATTTGGGTGCACCAAGAAACTAAGAAATATTTTTTAATCCCAAAGTTTGTATAATGTTTACATACGTCGAAATTTTTTTTTTTTAATTTGAATAAATTTTACAATATTCAGTTCAAATAGTAAGAGACTATAACCAATCAAACCAACTATACAACACAAACTTGGTTCTAGGAATAGAACAATACATAAATTTTGCCCATCCGATCCTTAACTTTAGAGAAGCGTAATGAGGGGGACTGTGTTTGGTGTGGGGTTTTTAATGGTAATGGCCACCATTGACCCTTTTTATTGTTGTCTCCCTCCTTACTTTTATAAGCTTTTCGCTTTTGTAATGGTAGATTCCCAACCACTGTTAAAATAAAATAGTTCGTCAAAGCCATATTATATGGTTCCACTTCCATCCCATAAAAACATATGGACAAGAATAAAAGATCTATCTTAGGTTCTTAACAAATTTAGAAAAGTATATTTCTTTTTTGATTTCATAAAAACAAGAACTGTATATTTCTGTAAATGTGCCCTTAAAAATATTTCTACTACGTACCCCTAACTAGAAGCTTTCATCGGTGTGGTAAGAGGCTAAAGGATACATAGTCACGAACCGACTTAAAATCTTTAACTTCTTTATCCGTCTACTTAAGTTGTATATATTTCCGTATAAACATTTTGGAGAAAGGTAGCATCGATGCAAGAGCCCCTTTGACAAAATCTTTTCAACTTTTCAGCTTTTAGCGTCGTTTAGATCAAGTTAACCCTAATTAACGGGTGCAAAACTCTTCGGTCTTCACCTAATCACTTATTTATTTCACCTTGTGTTGTTTTTAAATAACCTTTTACACTTTTGTTATAAAGAATTAATTATCTTTGAAGATAAATCAAGAGGAGATCAACAAAGTCGCGTCGGTCAAATTTTCTAGGAAAGGTCGGTGTTTAATTACCAAATAAAGAAAGAATATATACATGGAAGGGGAAACTTTAAGAAGAAGATGTAATATAAGAAACCGATTAAGTTGAATAGCTAAACGAAAGGGATTTGGCGAGTAAATTTTAAGAAAAAAGATATAGGGGGTTATTGGTCATCTACATTTGTATTTGCTCGAACGCGATCATACATAACTACAATTGGTCGCGTATGCACAAGGCCATTTTGGATGTTGACAATTGTTAGTAGGTCATGCCAACAAAAGTAGGCATAATATACAAAAGAGGGCTTAAAATTATAGAAATGATTCGAGATCAAATATGTAAGTTGATTTAGTGACATTTGGAGGGTACAGTTGTATCCAATAGATTTGTTGTATCCATTATATAGTTATACATCAAAGGATATGTCACACACGTCTCTTCATTCGTTTTCATCACATATCTCCCTTTTTGTGATGCTTGCTTAGATTGGACTTCATTGATTGACTATTATAAGTATATATATTTTTTTTTTTGTAAAAGTAGCTTTCTCTTTCTAACCAATTTTATAATTGATATGGAAAGTCTAGTGGGGACCGGTCAAGATGTAAACATATTCATGTTTTGGTTTTGAGTAGTAGACTATAAAAAAAGTTGCATTTAGCTTCTGTTTGGTGTTGGACGAGTTTTGTATAACATGTCTCGCTCGGCATCCAAAGTTAGAGAATTGCGGAAACTTGAACAAATAACTTGGAATTTTGGTCGATCGTTTGATAGAAAACTTGAACAAAAACCGTATAAAGACAATAAAACCCTCTATAATACAATAAAGCTATCACCATGCAAACCCAATTCCAACTGCTATATCATTAACTTTTGTTTATCTAGGTCAGCGCTATAATTTTTATCACACGCTTTACAGATCATGAAACCATATATTTCTTTAATCTATGTATACAAGTTTCTGTCTTATTAATTTTGTGTATTCATATAAGATAGGCTAGATAGGACCTAATCGGTATACGTATCATATGAATAGGAAACTGGCTTCATCATGTAGTTTTCACTTTGCATCCTTCTCTAATTGACACGTCTAAATGATACCTCCGAAGTCCTACACCAGTACCATGTCACTTTATCTTTAGGGTTCAAATTAATATTCACCATCCGAATTTACCAAATTTCTATATCATGTTTAAGCACATGTGATTTTCCTTTTATACATATAACAAAAGAAAATGTAATTAGCAGAATCAGTTGGAATCATCATCATTTTCGAAAAAGAAGATATATAAATCCACTTACTGTCATGGGAAAGGTATGGTCGGGAATGGGGATTTTGAAATGCCCCAAACTATATCTTGATTTGACTTTCAAGACAGGTGAAAAGATTCCACAAAGCCTTGATATATGAGTAAAACATTATTTTAGTCTCACGTATGTCACGTTATGTGCCCCCACAAGGCCACGCAACACTAAAGTAGCTTGTGCTTACCAAAATGGGGCTGGACTGGTGATTAAACTCAGATAAATCGAAAACGTAAGCACCTAAAGGGACACAAATTCGATTTTTATTAGGAGGAATAATTTATCAAAAATTGATCTTCATTTTGGAAGATATATGTATGGATCTAAACCTAAAACTTTCATATTAATATATAAGTAGTATGTGCTTCAACTTACGATTGTATGCAGAACCATGCCCACCCGTAATCAATATTAAAAAAGGTTCTAATTAACTATTATTATCACAAATTCATAGAAAATTAATCTGATTTATATAAAACAAATAATAACCATAATCGTTCCAAATGATATAAAATTAATTATACATAAATAATTACCATTATTTTAAATTCACAAAATTACAATAAATATCTATAGTTTTAAATTTATTTTGTTCTAAAATTTCGAATCATACTTCTTTGAAATTGATAAATTAATCAAATATTTGAGTTTTTGTTTCAAATTTAATATAAATCACAAACTAAACTAAATCTAATATTAGATGAAAAAATTATATTGAAAAAAATACTTAGCTATTAACAGATACCAATTAATTATGTAGTTATTGTAATAATAAAAAGTGAGTTGTAAAAGTCTTTAATGAAGAAAAGGAGAATAAAACATAATTTTTTCTAATTATTTAAGTTGTTATGTGTGTTGTTCTAATATTTTATTATATTGTTAGATTATGTTTTAATTAGTTGTTAATTTATATTACATAAACAAATATTTTTCTACTAATATGTAACAACTAATAATCTTAACTAAAAATTTTTTTAATTTTTTTTTAAAAAGTTGGTCCATAGGTGAAGGTTTATTTTTTGTGTGCATAAGCACGGCCCTGATTGTATGAACCTATATTGATAAACCAAATGATAACACTGATAAAACTAAAATCTGAACGGAGTTTGTAATCTACTAGTCTAATAATCTATTGCCATCGTTGTATCAATATCCTCTACAATGTGTGCAAATTGTGGAAGAAAAAAACATAATTGTAGATTCCGACTCCAATTTTTTTTGTTTTTTTTTTGTGATTTTCTTGGCTTATTGTATCATTTTCGTTGACGTTTTTATTGTAAGATAACAACTGAGTACCTTCAAACTTTGTTACAATAGTGGTGACCAATATAAATATATTTTAATGTATCTTGCATTGATGCATTCCCTACACATTTTTTTTTTTGCAAAAATTCCCTACACATTCTTTACAAGAAACATCGAGGTCTCCATATAACTACATTAAATCTCTAATTACTTAATTGTATCCCAAAATAAATTTCTAGTGATTTTATAAACTCTAGTAGTTTTTTTTTATAACCAAAATAATATAAACACTAGTTACTTTCTAGCTAATGTCAAGTTTCTACTATACCGACGACAAGAGTTAAACTCACATTGATGGGTTGGGATTATTCGTCAAAGATTATCATCATTATCAAATCGCAAGTATATATCGTTCATCCGTAAATTTCAAGAAAACCTTGTAGTAAACAATAGTTTATGCCACAGAGCCACAAATTAATACCAAAGCTGAAATTTTCTTGTAATGATAACGATGATGCATTTTAAACATATTGGAGAGTGGGTCCATTTCTTTCCACTACCCTCATACACTAAGATGTTTAGTAGACTTAATCATATGATATATCTAATCAGTTATAATATAATAATCATTTAATATTATTATAGAAATTATTTTAATTTTGTGAAAACACGAATTAAAATTCATTTCTCTTAAAAAAAATATTATCTTCTTTGTCAACCTTTTTTATGTCGACGGCCTTATAATTTCTCTTTAAGTTTAATAGTTTTATGATTTCATCATAATTCTTTGAAGTTATATATATTAGATTTTCTACTATAGTTTTCTTAATTAACAGTAGTATAATTCTTAACTAATATTCTACATTAAAAATTCTTAAGAAAGTAATTTATTAATGAAAAAGTTTTTGATTGGATAATATTTTTCTAGTTTCTCTCATGACTTTTATCATAGTATACATAAATAAAAAGGAGAGAAAAGAATGAACAAGACATTATAAGTACCTCCTCTCCCCACCTCTTTCATTTAGCTTTGTGCCACCTTCTTCTAAAGCCAAACATATATTATATCTTCCTTCTGTTGCTATTATACAAGAAAAATAGAAAGAGTTATGGATCTTCATGATTTACCTGAAGAAGCTAAAAGACGACTACACACGATTGAGGAATCATCGGAGGATCTTTGCGTCGATTTCCGAGGTCGACCATGCAGGCCAAGCAAGCATGGTGGTACAAGAGCTGCTCTCTTTGTTTTAGGTGTCTCTCTTTCACTTTTACTCTCTCTATCTCTCTCTCCTCTTGTTAACATGAACTATATTAGTTCTATATATCGACTAGAGAGCATGTCACATATGGTCGGTCCGGTTTAAGCATTTTCCAACCATATAGTATGTTAAAATTTGTTTGGTTTTGTATATACGTTTAGGCTTACAAGCCTTTGAGATGATGGCGATTGCGGCTGTTGGTAACAACTTGATCACATACGTGTTCAACGATATGCATTTCCCTTTGTCGAAATCTGCAAATATCGTGACTAACTTTATAGGAACTGTGTTTCTTCTCTCGCTTCTTGGTGGCTTCCTCTCTGATTCATACCTTGGAAGCTTTCGCACCATGCTCGTTTTCGGCGTCATAGAAATCTCCGTATATTTTCTCTCCCTCTCTAGCTCGTTTAGCCTTTGTCATTTCTGTTTAAGATGCTCTTGAATATTCTACATCATCTTTCATCTCTAAGGACTAGTAACTTGTGATATATTAAAACTTAAAAGACAAAAGTCCAAAACTTTAACGTAAAGTTCTGATTAAAGTGAATGAACTAATTTTTTCTTGTTAAACTTTCGGTTCTTTGGAAAAGTAAATAGGCTATGTTATATGCTAATATTCTATCAATGTCACACAATAGTGACGTAAAAAAGAATGTTACACAAAAGTCTAGTAACTGCATAAGACATACATCCAGGCAACATGTAAACTTTGTAAAGATAATTGAACAAATTTAAAACATGTTCAGATTATAGTATCCACAATATACATTACATGTATTTTTTTCTAAGCTATGACAAATTGAGGAAATGTTTTGGCTAAAAAAAAACATGTAATTTAATTGAATCAGGGGTTCATATTATTGTCAGTACAAGCTCATGTTCCACAGCTAAGACCACCAAAATGCAACATGAAGGACACTACAACACAGTGTTTAGAGGCAAATGGTTACAAGGCGGTTACTCTCTACGCAGCACTCTGTTTAGTGGCCTTAGGGAGCGGCTGTCTCAAACCAAACATCATTTCTCACGGTGCGGACCAGTTTCAAAGGAAAGACTTGAGGAAGCTATCTAGTTTCTTCAATGCAGCTTATTTCGCCTTCTCAATGGGTCAACTTATTGCACTCACACTCTTGGTTTGGGTGCAAACCCATTCTGGCATGGACATCGGTTTTGGTGTCTCGGCGGCTGTTATGGCCGCCGGGATGATCAGTCTTGCTGCTGGTACTAACTTTTACAGGAATAAACCACCTCGCGGTAGCATCTTCATACCAATTGCTCAGGTAAATCCACAAGAGATTGTTTGTTTGCTCATTTAGCATCTTCACTTGTGTTTTTATGTTTCTTGTGCTTGCTCATTTTCTTCTTCAAACGAACTTAAAACCTTTTTAAACATAATTCTTTAGTTAATTGCAAAATGTTAAATGCATATTTTTCTATAAGTTTGTTTAGCACTTTACAAAATTGTTATAAGAATCAAATATTAATAAAATTTAAAATGTAACGATTTGTTTTTCAACATATAAACCCACACATGCCTCTTTACTAAATTTTGAGGCATTATAAAGAGTTTGATCTTGAATTTTATTCTTTGATCGATTCAGGTCTTTGTAGCCGCGATCACTAAACGAAAACAGATTTGCCCTTCAAACAAGAACATGCATCATCAACTTTCAACGGATCTCGTTCGTTTCAAACCTCTCCTCCATACTAATAAGTTCAGGTGATTAGCCATTAATCTCTTTACTTAAACGCTATATTAACTAACTAACTAACCGCAAAAAACGGCAGGTTTCTTGACAAGGCTTGCTTCAAGACGCAAGGCAAAGCCATGGAGAGTCCATGGAGACTCTGCACAATCGAACAAGTCCATCAAGTCAAGATTCTGTTATCAGTAATACCGATATTCGCATGCACAATCATCTTCAACACAATCTTAGCTCAGCTCCAAACTTTCTCTGTTCAGCAAGGAAGCTCCATGAATACACACATCACAAAAACATTCCAAATCCCACCAGCTTCTCTTCAAGCTATCCCTTACATCATTCTCATCTTCTTCGTTCCTCTATACGAAACGTTCTTCGTCCCAATCGCTAGAAAACTCACGGGAAACGATTCTGGAATCTCACCTCTTCAGAGAATTGGCACAGGACTCTTCCTAGCGACTTTCTCAATGGTTGCAGCCGCTTTAGTGGAAAAGAAGAGACGTGAATCGTTCTTAGAACAGAATGTAACGCTCTCTATCTTCTGGATCGCTCCACAGTTTCTGATATTCGGTTTATCAGAGATGTTTACAGCCGTTGGATTAGTAGAGTTTTTTTACAAACAGTCTTCACAGAGTATGCAATCTTTTCTCACTGCAATGACTTACTGTTCCTACTCTTTTGGATTCTATCTTAGCTCTGTTCTTGTCTCGACCGTGAACAGAGTTACATCTAGTAATGGGCCCGGGACAAGAGAAGGTTGGTTAGGTGATAACGACTTAAACAAAGATAGATTAGATCTCTTTTACTGGCTCTTAGCTTCATTGAGTTTTATCAACTTCTTTAATTATCTTTTTTGGTCAAGATGGTATTCATTTGATCCATCTGCGACACATCATAGCGCCGAAGTTAATAGCTTGGAGGATTTAGAAGATGGCGAAAATAAGAATTCCGTGACGGAGAAGCCAAGAATTTGACTAAGTATGTTTTAGATCATCTTGTTGTATGTTTCCTTTAGGAGGTATAATAGAACAAGTCTTTTGAAGAGTTTTAGATCTTTTATGCTTAGTAATCCGGTTGTAATCATAAGTTTTTGGAAGTGGTGGGTTTGAGTTTTTCTTGTTTTTAATTTAATTTTTGGGGTTTGTAATGATGAAAAGTTAGTTAAAAAGGTTTAGAAGAACTTGTTTTCTGAATGAATAATGTATTAAGCTAGTTGGTTTTGTGATGTGAGTCGACTTTGAGGTAATGATAACAATAGTGTCACCAATTGTTTTTAACTTTGTACAAGGTTATAAGATTTGGGGGTAAAGATGAAGAACACCAACCGCTTAAAACAACGTTTTTGTTTGGCGATTGCTGCGTTGAACAGCAACCACAAACAATAAGCGGATTTGACGTTTGAGTCATATGATGATTCCATAGACTTATGACACATCTTTGAAGTTGAAGAGAGATATAAATGGTCAATACCCATATATATTGACATCATCAGGTTAAAGATTTAGTGAGGCATCATTAATTAGTTGTAACCTTCGGGCAGACAGAGAAGGTCCACAAAACACTCTGCTCCATTGCTACAGATCTCATTGAAAAAAATAGTGTCTTCACCACTACAATATAAGAAAACATTTGAGTTTTGTGTGTTGTCTCATTGGCTCTAACAAGAAAATAAAAATACTATAATCCATATGTTAATTCCTTATCCTAACTTTTAATTGAACAATACATATCTAAAAAGGTTGCTTAAGGTTGTTAGAAGTTCTTGCAGCTAGGTCCAAGAATGTTTTTCAACCTCTACGAAATGGACCAACCCAATTTGATCGAGACCTATGTATTGGTTTTACTTGGAAATGCAAATTACAGAGCTTAATTATTACAAACCGTATTGGGTTTGAAAAAGACCACTTCACATATATAGATATGTCTGGATCAGTTTTTAAAGGATATTAGGAGAGAAATACGCGCGGATCTTGTTTAAATTTATATTTTAAATAATTTGTATTGAATTTTAAGTTTATTATTAATGTATTTTTGTCTAAAATATTTCTATTTTTTTTTATTTCTTCTTGATGATATATATATATTATATGTAATCCCTTTACACCAGTTGTATTAAATAGTTTCATTTTTTCTTCGATCTTTATATTCTTTTTATTCTTGTAAATCGTACTAATATAATATTTGTTAATTTTTTTAATTTAATATTTGATTTTTTTTTGATTATATATATATTTTATTGATTTCATCTTTTTTAATTACTTAAAAAAACCATAGATGATATTTTTATGTGGATATCTTTCTTTTTACTATTATTTTTAATAACTTTTATCTTTTTAATAGTTTATTAAATATGATTTGTGTTTTACAATTTTATTAGTTGAATTTTTATATAAGATTATTTGAAATTTTTTAACTTATTTAGTCTCATAATTTTTTTTCACTTGCATTAAAATTTAATTATATTTTTAGTTTATAAATGAAGTTTAAAACATTTAAAAAGAAAATAGAATTGTACATTTAAAACGTCTTGTATTATATAATATTTATAAGTTTGTATATAGTTAAATTAAATTTGAATTTTATTCTAATATAAATATATAGTATTAATATTTATTTATGTTTTTAATGTGTTTTAATATGTTTTAATGTGTTTGCTTTAAATATAATTAATTAATTATTTTATTAAACTTGAAAATGACAGGTGGTGCTCTCTCTAGCGCTGATGTGTCACTCAACTCCAAGTTTTATATATAAGATAGTGAAACTTGAGTAGAGAATTGTTACATTTTCATGTAATTCTACAATAGTATTTACAAGCATTATGATATGCTGTAACCTCAGGTTACACCTCTTATAGTCAAATACCACGTTCACGCCTAGTTTTGGGTATCTATTCAAGAACTTGTGTCATGCGTTGTGAAAGCAACACACTAAGCGCATAAAATGTTGAAAACAAAAAAGAAAAACGGAAAAGTAAGTAAACACAAACAGAAATTAGAGTTTTATGAGTTTTTCATTTGTTTTGTAATTTCTGCTATCTGCAGATAGTTAGTTGAGACATGCACATTGTATGACAAGACAGACAGATTGAGAGAGAGAGAAGCAAAACATCAACGCCATTGCCGTTCTGCAACTGCATTCCTGTTTTCATTTTATATAAATAACATCTCATGAACATTCAGAACTTGTTTCTCAATCTGACAGCTCTCATATTCCCAGAAATTCAGTCCCTTTTCTGTGCCTCACATGCGCTTATAGAGGTATGTTCATGATTCTCAAACATGGATCTCAAGAGTCTACTTTTTGGGAATTATCAATTTTTATGCCAATGGTGTCTAGTTAGTAATTACTGTAAGAAAACTGTGCAACATATAATCTGACCTTTGAGTTCCTAGATGTATAGCTTTGGTCCATAACGTTTTTGACTCCGACAAATCTCCTGCAAATTGATTATATTAGAAATAAACATTTTGTATGTAAATATGCAACTTATGAAATGTAGAGAGGTTTTAAGACTTTAAGTTGGATCTTTCTAGCATCCTCATGAGCATATAACATATGTATACACACATGCCATGATCATATATTGCATGTAATGACAAAATATATTGATTATGCATCATCCTGATGATTCATTTACATGATGTTATGCAGATTTAGGACTTTAAGAGGTGCAGAAGAGATGAGGGCCAAAGCTGCTTCAGGGAAAGCCATAATAGTTCTGTGCCTTGCCAGCTTTCTTGCAGGCTCACTGTTCATGAGTCGAACTTTAAGTCGTTCTTACGTGTCTGAAGAAGAGGATCAACATCTCGCAAGTCATTTGTCCAAGCATTTAGAGATTCAAAAGGACTGCGATGAACATAAACGCGTAATAAGACTTCTCTGCTTCTTCCTTACTAAAAAAATTCAAATAATTAGCATCTGCTCATACACTAATCACATTTTGTTTTTTTTTCTTTTGTTGATCAGAAATTGATAGAGAGCAAGTCCAGAGATATAATAGGAGAAGTATCTAAAACCCACCAAGCAGTAAAGTAATTAAAGTCTTATTATTTCTTGTGTTTTTATAACAAGATTGAGACAGAGGATGTAAACACTAAAAGTCTTTATGAATTGTGTAGAGCGTTAGAGAGAACAATGTCAACTTTGGAGCTGGAGTTAGCAACAGGACATACCAGCCAGAGAAGCAGTGAGTTTTGGAGCGAAAGGAGCGCAAAAAACCAGAGTCTGCAGAAAGTATATGCAGTGATAGGCATCAACACAGCTTTCAGCAGTAGGAAGAGACGAGACTCGGTGAGGCAGACATGGATGCCAACAGGAGAAAAGCTCAAGAAAATCGAGAAAGAGAAAGGGATTGTTGTAAGGTTGTGAAGTAAGCCACAAGTATCAAGAAAGGAAAAAAAAAAGACTCAAGTCACTAACTTTAAGATAACCAAATTAGTCAGTCATTTAAAGTTTGGATCTTTTGTTTTGTTTTTTGTAAGGTTTGTGATAGGACACAGTGCAACACCAGGAGGAGTATTAGACAAAGCCATTGATGAGGAAGATTCAGAGCATAAAGATTTCTTGAGGCTAAAACACATTGAAGGATATCACCAGCTCTCGACCAAGACAAGGCTCTACTTCTCAACAGCAGCTGCAATGTGGGACGCAGAGTTCTATGTGAAGGTGGACGATGATGTTCATGTCAATCTAGGGATGCTTGTTACAACACTTGCCAGATATCAATCAAGACCGAGGATTTACATTGGTTGCATGAAGTCTGGTCCTGTTCTTTCACAAAAGTAAGCTAAACTACTACTACTTATTTCAAATCCAAAAAAATTAAAAATTTAACATCTTTGGATACTTAGAAAATGAACTCTTAAGAAAAATACCATAATTTATACGTACTAAAATTCACAAAATAGTCTACATTTTTATTTTTATTTTGAAACAACATAATTTAAAATTCAACCATAAAAACTAAACCCTAAACTCAAACTCCTAAAACCCGAATTCCATAAAATTAGATTCTAAACCCTATAAACTCAAAGCTCAAAACTCTTTTGAATTAACATTTTTGTATATATATATATATATTCAAAACTCTTTTGAATTAACTTTGTTAATCTCTTATTTATCCCTGTCCGAAATGTAAATAAACAGGGGAGTGAAGTATCACGAACCAGAATTTTGGAAATTCGGAGAAGAAGGGAACAAATACTTCAGGCATGCGACAGGGCAGATTTACGCAATCTCCAAAGACTTAGCTTCGTATATATCCACTAACCAGTGAGTGATTCATAATATAATAATCAGAGATTCAGAGTATTAATTCATGTGTTTCTTGAGCTATAAGTTATAAAATCATATACACATACCGTGGACACGCGCGCAGGGGAATACTGCACCGGTACGCGAACGAGGATGTGTCGTTAGGAGCGTGGCTGCTCGGTTTAGAGGTTGAGCATGTGGACGAGAGATCCATGTGTTGCGGAACTCCACCGGATTGTCAATGGAAAGCTCAGGCAGGGAACGTGTGCGCTGCGTCGTTCGATTGGTCTTGCAGTGGTATTTGTAAGTCCGTTGATCGGATGACACGTGTACACCGAGCTTGTGCTGAAGGAGACACTCCTCTCTCTAATTTTCGCTTCTTCTTCTGAGTTTTTTTATGATTTTAAAGTTTGCTTATTGTTAGTTGGTAGCGTTTTGTGGAAACAATAAGGAAAGGTTACAGTAATAAAAGATTTGCGAGATAATTTGACTTTTTTTGGGTGTGGAAAATTGGTTTCTTCTTTTCCAAAAAATTAGGAAAATTCTTGGGTTCATCTGTAGGGATGAATTCATTCATTCACCCCCTCTTATTTTAACCAATGAGAATCTGTCATGTAATATTATTTTAAAATAAAAATACAAAATAAAAATACAAAATAAAAATTAAAAGATTAAATACTCAAACAAATATTTTATTAAATATATATAATTAATTAATGTATATAAAAATTAGAATTTAGATTTTAAAGATTAGAATTTAGGTATTAGAGTTTAAAATTTCGAAAATAAAATAAATAATCATGTAAATATATATTTATTAAAAATAAATATAAATAAAATTTGATATTATGTTTGGATTCACTATTTTGAATTTAGGGTTTAGTTTTTCATCATTTAAAATTTCAAAAATAAAAAAATAGTTATGTAAAAATATATTTTCACTAAAAATAATTCTATATAAACTTTA